GACTGGCCATTTGTACTTTGTCTCAAATTCTGAACTCCAAAAAAAAAAAAACAAAACTCTTTAAAAAGCACATGTTGGTTCTTTAACTCTTAGATAGAACCTGACCCAAGACTATTGTGGTCTATATTTATCCTGGGGAGCATGAATATTCATGAGTTTCACTGTAGAGATATTAATGTATTTGATTATGGGTATCGTATAATGTATGGCACAGGTACCTCAGTCCCTAAAACCTGGAAAATCCTGATACACATCTGGCCTGAAGGTCTAAAGAAGTAGGGGCTAGAATAGCTCTCCATGGCCTATTTTCCCGTCAGCCACAGGAGGCGGCTGTGAGCCGAAGGAGGGTCCAGGCAGCAGGTGGTCAAGTTGCCCCGGCAGCTACTTTTCTACTACTGCAGGTAGCTTAGCAGCCCTCACTAGGCTTCGAAAGCTAGCAGGTTTTGCTCCCTCTTGTGTCCCATGTTCAGCTTGGGGCACTCTAGCAAATATTGATCAGAAACAGACAGCATGTTATTTCTATAAAGGACCAAATAGTAAATATCTTAGGTCTTGAGGGTGTGGCATCTCTTGCAAACTCAGTTCCTTAAAACTTTTCAGTTTTACAAAATGTGTGAAAATACTCATTTAATAGAAACCGTACTTAGAATTTGGATCTCTTCCTGGGCTAGCAGTATGCAGTTGGATGATGTTGTCACAGGGCTGGCGAAGCCACTGCAGAAAGGGAAACAACCCAGACAAGTTCTGTGCTCTGCACGGCTGAGCTAGGACGCTCGCTAGGCAACACTATTTTCAACTTACAATGGGGCTTATCAGGCTCTAACCCCATTGAGAGCCAAGGAAGTACTTTCAGGCTGTTAATGTAGCCTGAAAACTGCCACAGGAAATGCATCAGTGAGTGGGTGCACCTATGTTCTAATAAAACTTTATGAAAACAGATGGCAGGCTGGGTTTGCTCGCTGGCCATAGTTTGCCAACTCCCAGGCCAAGGGATAAAAACCTTAAATAGACGCTCTTCTTTGCCATAGTGTAGCCCTGCTATCTGCCTGGACACTGATTTTGTTTCCTCCCCCAGTGCTGTTGCCTCCAAAAAGATAAAAGTGTAGCTCTCATACCAGCATCCTTGCCTTGGCTTCTCCAAATGGTCTGGAAACATGGATAAAAGGAAGGTACTGCCCTGCCTGGACTGGCCTCAAGAGTAGGAGTGTGTATTTGTGTGGACAAATGCATTTGGGCCCAGGGCCAGCCCTGGTGAGGGGCACTTGGGCCTCCACCCACTGATGAGTTTGGGAACTGAGCCAAACCCCCAGCAATGGGCCAGGCTGCTGGTTGGGCAGCGCAGCTCAGGAGCGGATGTGGGGCACTGGGGAAGCCAAGGGGCTGGGTGGAAGCAAGCTCACCAGCAGAATTTCTGGCAGAGAGAGACTGGTTATCGTAAACCCAGTGGCTCCAACGAGGGCTTGTTCATACCCTGCCCAGAGCATCCAGCAAGGGTGGGGTCTGGCTAGTGAGGCTGAAATCCAGTCCCCTGACCTCCACAGCTGGCTGGCCTGGAGCTGACTGATGAGGGAGGGACCCTGCAGATGTTTGGCCCCTGACTCTTAAGCAGACCTTTCCAAGATCCAGGGCTGGAACCTCTCAACCAGCCCCTGCCTCAGCAGCTTTTCTGTGGGAGGGGTTTCCCCCAAGACATTTTGGGACTGCTGCCCTCTGCCAGGACCACCTTCTTGACCAGCCAGGGCGGGGCCGCCGCATAGTTCTCTTTCTAAAGCAAATTCCAAACAAGGGCTGCTATCCAGTTGGCTTCCCCCCATTCCCTCTTCTATCATGGTTTTGTGGGTTACTATTTTAGGGACAGTGTTCAAATGCAGCCTCCTCACCCTGCAGCCCTGATGGCTTGTCAGCCCCAGAAGAAGGGGGTGCACCCCAGTCAGTGTGTGCCAAGTACTGGCAAAGCCGGTGGAAGTGGACTGGGTGACTGGTGATGGGGAACTCTGCTGGCAAAACCGGGGCGGGGGGCGGGGCCACCTTCAGATACCTAACACAATGTAATGCTGCCAGGGACTGTCGTCCTGACCCTGCCTGAACTGCTGTAGAGGGATGGCCCAGAGCAGTTCTCGATCATGGGTACACCTGAGAATCACAAAAGGGGCCTGAATCAGCATTGTCAATCCCTGTGCTGGAGGGTAAAGCAGAGAGTGATGGAACGGTGGAGTAGGGGAAGAGATGGGCTGGGGTCAAGTAGGGTCAGCCAGAGAAGGTGAGCTGAGTCTAGAAATGGAGCAGGGGATGGTGATGAGGGTTTAGTCTTGATTGGACACTTTGGGCCTAGCCAGATACAGCTTGAAGCCCTTTACACAAATGAACTCACTCAGTCCTCCCAAAAAGCCCCATCTCACAAATCGCAGACTGAAGCGCAGCTGGGTGAGGGAGCCTGCCCAGGCTTGCATGGGCAGGAGGTGGTGAATTGGGCCTCGGCCCTTCCCCATACAGCACTGTAGAGGACAAGGGCAGGCTAGCAGTGGGACTGCCCAGGGAGAGTGCAGGGATGGGGTGTCTCGGGCAAGCAAAGCAGGATGGGTTCAGATGACTCGGGTCTGCTGGTGGAGTATATGGCTGTGATCTTGGTGCAGAAAGCTCTAGGCACGGTGACAGGGAGGTGCACCCCAACTCCCCCATCCTCCTCTCAGAGGGAAGAGTTCCCCATGATGCGGCCCCCACCCTTGGCAGTGAGGGGAGTACATTTTTGTTGGGAGTCTGACAAGCACTTGGTAGGCTACCTTTCATGCTCCTGTCTCCCCATGAAGTGGGGCCTATATTCTTATAGATATGAGCTAGGAGTCTGGGGAGCAAAACAGTGCACACGTGGTCACACAGTGAGTAAGTAGTGACCCAGGCCCCGTCTTCTGTGGGGAGGTGCTTTTCACCACACCAGGACCTATGCCCCCACCTCCTCCATCCGAGTGGGCTCCTGGGGCAGAAGAGATGATCCTAAACAGGCCTAGGATTCGGGGACTCCTTCCATCCCCTTGAGGAAGAACCACCAGCACTCACCGGCCTGTCCTTTTCTCAGTGGCCGTCTTCCTCCCCCATTTCTTCAAGGCTGCGCTTCCCGGCAGCTCCTGTCAGCCTGGGGGTTTGAACCTGCCTTCCCACGCTGGCCCACATGCAGCCCTTGCTTTTCAGTGAAAAGTGGAGCCAGCACTGTTGAGCAGCAGGAGGGCTGGACTGGGATCCAGGTTCAAGCAGCAGCTTCCAGGGCTATACCTTGTCTGGAAGGTTGCAGCCTCTTGGTCCACCAGGGGTGGAGGACCCAAAACTAGGCTTTTCAGGACTAGTCCCTTTATGCCAGGCTCTGAGAGAGAAAGGGTGGTGGGAGCCCCTTTTTACAGAGCGACACCAGGCTGCCCCTGCTGTAGGGAAGCCAGAGGCGTTCGGGTGCTCATTCCTCTGGGAACCACATACCTGGATATTCTTCAAAAGGAACAGAGGAGCATGGAGGCAGCTCCTGACCCAGGCTTCTGCCCTGGGTGGGCCTCTTTGTCCCTATAACCTGCACCAGGCCTGGCCTCAGGGGAGGGAGAAGATCCTGCTTTCCTTCTTGTGTTGTGTTAGGCCTGAGAGCCTCTCTTGGGGCTCAGTTTCTCCAGGATGGGTCCATGCCACACCTGTGACCCTTTTTGCAGTTCTTGCCACACTCTAGTCGCTGGACCCCTGTGGGCAGAAGGCACCCAAGTTCTGAGTTGGCTCTGGATGAAATGGAGGCTCGTCATTCCTGGGTGTGCTGCCAGAGGCCAGCGAGGCTGGGCATGGAGACCCTGCAGCCACACCACCCGCCATAGAGCTTCCCCAGGGCTATGGGCCAGTGTTGGGTAAAGGGACACTCATCTACCTGGACCAACTAGATGACTGCCTGCTTGGAGAGCATTCAAGGACAGCAAGAAAAATGAGGGACTTTCAGGGGCAGCTGTGTTTTCTGACTCAGTCATAATGCCCCTAAAAATCCTTATTGTTCTTGCAGTGTGCATCAGGCAGAAGCCACAAGCACCCCTTGTCCCTCTGGGATGGAAGGAGTTTCCTGGAGTCATATTGGAATGTTTCCTCCCAACTGAGAATCGGGGGAGTTGCTGATCAAACAGTTTGACTGGCATAGTGGTTTGCATGCATTTCTTCTTCCAGTAGAGGGTGGTGAGGAAGCTGAACATTGGACACTTGCTGGTTAGAGCCCAGGAGCACACAGGTGTACCTGAGTTGCATGCAGTTCACAAGAGCCCAACTGCACATTCAGTGTCTGATGAAGGCGGTCCTCAGAGCCAGCTGCATTAAAGTAGCCCTGGTGGGCAGGAAGGGATGTTCTTTTCTCCTGAAGTTGGGGCAGGGGGGGAAATGACACCTGAGCAGAAACTTGCAGTGCCTTTTAGAATACTCTCTAAGACCTGGCTGTTTTGAAAACGTGGTTGTAAGAAAGGTGGTGTCGTAATCCCAGCATTGCAGAAGGCTGTGTCAAAGGGCTGGGGATGTAGCACAGTGTTAAAGTGCCCCAGGTTTCAATCCCCTGTACAAAAAAAAAAGGGGTGCTGGGGGGAGTGGTTGCAGTGATTTGGCACTTACCCTGCGGCTGAGACCCCAGACCTTGCTTTCTCCCTGCTGGACGCTCCCTGGCCTTTCCGCTTCGTGGTGCTCTTACCATTCCCGCAGGTTCCCGCTCTATAGATATTTTGACTGAGCCAAGATCTTATGTCAGGGTTTCTGGAGGAGACTGTCAAGCAATAGAAACTTCTTTTAAAACAGAAAACCACTTGGTGACATGCCCCTCTTAACCCATGATATCAGTCCACACCCCAAGGCAACTGAATCCAGCTTTCCAGGCGAGGCAGGGCTGGTGGCTTGTCCACAGATGGGGAGGGTTGCGTGGCCTGCTCCAGCAGGTCCACCCTTGTCTTGAGGACCTCAAGGGTCAGCAGGGGAAATTCATTCTTCATATTTCTAAGTCCCCAGGAGTCAGCTTGAAAGCTCTCATCACCAGAAAGATAGCCTTCAGTGCTGGACGCTGGTGGGAATTTGATCACCCTGACCTCGCCTCCTGCCATCGATGACTTTAAGGGGCTGGAGCCTCAGCCACCTCCTACTCAGAAATGAATGCTCCAAGGTAAAGTGTAAACACACATGGTATCTATGCCTTCGGGTAAAAGAGGAGGGGGCATGGAATCTCATGAAATGAGAAGCTCATTCTTCCTATGGACAAGGGTGATCCAGCTCTTAGAGGTTTTTGTCCATTTGCTAACTTTAACTCTCTCCTCCCATGAAGCCTCTTTGCCCTCCTATCCTTCCATCACCCCAAGACATTTGTAAAAGATCATACATCAAAAATGAAACTATTTCCCTAGGTCATAAGAATTGCCTTCAAATGCTATAGAGCGTTTGAGAAATCAAATTGCTTTCAATTGCTAGGGAACATTCATCAAAAGGAATGGAAGGTTCCGCTGACGAACTATGGCCTTTCTTCCCCTCTGCCTGCACCCCCTCTCTGCTAGCAGGATGGGGACTTTTATAAGGGCAGGCCCCTGTGGGCCATTATCCTGAGCCCTCAGGAGTGTTTTTTTTTTTTTTTAAACCAAGTGGAGTGTGCTGTGGCTGCCACCAGGAAGGTCCAGGATTTTTCTAGAGAGTTTAAGCAGCATTGGGGTCTCTCCAGGCCTGGATTGATGGAATTATTATTGAGGATGAGAGAGACAGTGATGTCCTGACTCCCGTCTCCTGCAGTGCTTCCTGATTTTTTTTTTTTTTTTTTTTTTTAAAAACCAATGGCTGGGCCCCAACTAAGATCCACTGGATTGAACTGCAGGGGGTTGGGAAGCCCAGGGATTGGTATCTTGGTTTGTGTTTTTGCTTGCATTTATTCCTCAGGTGATTGTGATCTGGCTACATGACCTCGAGTAACATGAGAGATCCCCTCCAGCTTTGCCTGCAGAGCTATCCAGAGGGATGTGCCCATTTGCAGTTGGCTGGCTTTCTCTTCCATTATTTCCGCTGCTGCTTGGTCATCTTATTAGCCTGCTCTCTGTCTGAAGAGGAGGATAAAGACAGTGGAGGAACAGAGCGAAGATGTGGCAATGTTGGGGTTTAAATCTGCAGTTCTGACCCGCAAGATCAGTGCTGTTTCAGTAGTAGTCGTTGGTATTCATAATTAACACATCCAAGAAACTTCTTATAATGCTTGATACTAAGCAGTCATCAATCACAGTGTCCCAAGATGTGACCTTCCCTTAGTTTCCCCATGACTGCCTGTTGCACTGCCAGCCTGGGCAGGGTTCAGCCCCATTTTACAGATGAGGAAGGGGCCTTACACTCAAGATTGCCCTAGTCACTTGGTGGCAAGATCAGCTGGCCGCTTACCTGTTCAGATGGCCAGGAAGTGTGCAGAGGTTCCTAGGTCTTGAGGAAATAATCTGACTCCAGAAGCCCAACCTGAGGGCTAACTGGGCAGGCTGCCAGCACAGGGGATGGCAAGTTGCCAGCCATTCCCATGGTCTGCAAAACAAAGTGAACCCACTTAGGCCATGGCGAGGATGAGAACACCACTTTAAGAGTCTTTAAGGACTCAGGCTTCATTTGCAAAGGAGGTCCCTGAGCACTGGACCCCACTCCCTCCTTGGCCTGGTTCTGGCCCTTCTCTCCACCATCCCTTTGCAGCCCGGTGCACACCTTGGCAATGGCATCTGTAAAGGTGGACTCGGCCGGTGTCTCCATGGGAAATGGGGCAGGGGGTGTCTGCTCAGACCTTTCCTGCCCACCTTCTTTGGGGATGGGAGCCTGCTATGACTTGCTGGGGTTGTAGCTTAGTGGCAGAGCGCTTGCCTGGCACATGTGAGCCACTGGATTCCATCCTCAGCACCACGTAAAAAAATAAGTTGTGTCCACCTACCAAAACAACAACTCCCAGTTTAAGTAGCATCCTGTTTGCTGGACATGGCTGAGATAAGCACAGAACTGCGGGGGCTGGGGGGAGACAAGTCTTTGCTCTGGAGTCTGATCAGGGCAGTCACTTGGCTGAGGAGCTTGGGGAAAGGCCTGAGCATGCGTGTGTATACAGATATGAAGTTGCTGCCTTTCCCTTCCAGGAACACACTCGAGTAGAAGATGCTCGGCGACTGGTAGTGGTGCAGCACCTCTTGGGAGGTGAAGTCCTGGCCTCCACATGGCGGATGGTACCTTCTGTCCTTGATCCTACAAGGATGACCTTTCTAGACAGTCTTCTTGGGCCTCCTGCCATGGCTGAACTCCTGGGACAGTGGTTCTGGACTGGCAAACTACAGTTCTTGCCGCTGCCTCAGGGTGTAGATGGCCCAGTGTCTGTGGGCTGGAAGGACACCAACCTAGGAAGCAGCCCTGAGCTGGCATGAGGAGTCCATCCCTGGTGGCAGGTTTGTCCGGACATAGGAATGGCATGACACCACCACTCCTGGGGCTTTGGAGGAGTTGATAGCTATCCATTGGAGACCCTCGAGTTTTCCATGGACTCTTTTCCTCTGGGGATCACCTACCATAAATTCCCGGGTGTGGCTGCCCTTACCACCTGACTATAGAGGCAGCCATCTGATCCAGGCTTGGACCAGACTCCTCTGCAGGACTTTTTGAGTTTTCGGAGGACACAACATCTTTATTTTACTTTTATGTGGTGCTGAGGATTGAACCCAGCGCCCCGTGCATGCCAGGCTAGCACGCTACTGCTTGAGCCACATCCCCAGCCCCTCTGCAGGACTGCTGAAGGAACTCGGGGGGAAGCCATTCTGTTCCTGGGGCAGTTGATAAGTCCATACAATGGAGCCTGAAACTGCTGGTGACCAGCCCTTTATCCACTCGACAACAAAGCCAACAGGAGAGAGAATGAACATGGAGAGAATATCGGTGCAAATAGGCCATGCCGGAACCCACTGGCTTCCCTGCGCTATGGGGATTGAGACAAGGCATATCTCTTTTGCTAAAAATAGCCTGAGTACGGCTTCTGTCACAGAAGTGTGCCCAATGCAGGCAGGGTTTTTTTTTTTTTTGAAACAACTTTGAGGTATATTTCACCCTGAAATTCATCCACTACCCATGCCTGTGTAGCCGCCATCAGAGGGCCACTGTTTCTTCCCCCAAAATGTCCCATCTCTCCACCCACTGCGCTTCCCTTTGCAGAACTTTATGTAATCCTAGTGCATACTCTCCCGTCAGGCTGAGTCAGAAGACAGTCTTCCACGTTGATGGTTGCACGCAGCAATGATCCAGTCCTTTCTCTTGCTGGGTCACCTGACATTGCGTAGACGTAAGTGGTTCTTTATCCACTTAGATGAGGGATAGTTGAGCCGTTTCCAGATTTCGGCTGCTGTGAATAAAGCTGTTTTGAACATTTGTGCCAACCTTCGGGTGTGTGCTTCAAGCCTCACACACTAGATGTCAGGCTCATTTTCCAGCTGAGATGGGTTTCAAAGTGGAATGATTTGTCCAGGGTCAATGGCTGATGATCCGGGGACTGACAGTGATGTAGCTGGAGTGGGGTACAGCGTTGGGGTGCTTGGGGAAGGAGGTGCTGGGCTCCTGGCCAAATGAGCCACAGCCTTGGTCCTGGCTTTCCACCTTCCTGAGCCATTGTAGTTTAGTCTCCCCCTGTGGATTCCAGGGCTTGAAAGATACAATCCAAGTAGACTGCATACACGACGCCAAATGGATTCCTTAAGACATCTAGAACCGCCCGTCTGTTCCTCACTGTGAGCACGTCACAAGAAGGACCTGGAGGTGAAACCATTCTAGCCCCAAACAAAGACCTTTTGTTGGTTTTGTGGCCGAGCATCAGCACGTTAGGGCTCCTCCCAAAGGATGTCAGGCTGGTCACCCCAGTTTATTCCCTTTCCAAGATGCTTCAGCCTCAGCTCCTGGGCTCTGTCTGGGTCCACTTGAGACAACGGTTTTTCTCTGGTGCACATGCTGTGACTCACCAGGTCATCTCCACGGGACTGAACACCTGTGGCTCTTTGGTTTTGTAAGCTGGTGTGTTCTTTTCCCCATTCAAGCCAGCTCACAGCTGAAAATACTAATACAGCTTCACTAACATCAGCCTTCAGTACCCTGCCCCATGTCACTTTCCCTATTAGGGCCCAAATAATAAACTGAGTACACCCATTACCTCAGACCCTCTCAGTAACCTTAGAAGGAGGTACCATTACCCACCCCCTCCATTAACTGTGAAGGAGACTGGCAGGGAGATGTCCGGGGGAGGGGGTGTGTGTGACACATTTGCATACCACCTCAGAGCTTCTCAGCTCCCCCGCCGAGGATCCACCAAGATCAGCTGCTTGCTCTGAAGCCAACCTGCTGCTATTCCAGAGTCTGATCCCCACTAGACGTCAGCCCAGGGTATGGGACCAGCGCCCGGATGGCTGCCAGAGGGGCTGAGACTACAAGCCAGACGCTTGGTGGCATTGGTTTTATGGGGTAAACTTTAAGCAGGAGGGAAGGGGAGGATAAGTCCCTCCCCATGCTCCCTGGGCATGGTCCTATGCCATTTCTTAAAAATTTAATTAGATATCTAATACCAGAATGCATTTTGGTTCATTGTACACATCTGCAGCACAACTTTACGTTTCTATGGTTGTATGCGATGTAGCATCGCACCATATGTGCAGTCATACCTAGGGTAAAGAGGTCCATCTCATTCCACCATCTTTCCTGCCCCCATGCACCCTTCCTACCCTTTGCCCAATCAGAGTTCCTCCATTTTTCCGATGCCTTCCCCCTCCCTGTTATGGATCAGCATCCACTTATCAGCCTTTGTTTTTTTGGAATTGGCTAACTTCACTTAGCATGATATTCTCCAACTCCATTTACCTGCAAATACTATAATTTTATTCTTTGAATGCTGAGTAATATTCCGTTGTGTTAGATGAAGGGATAACGGAACTGGTTCATATATTTTTTAAGAGAATTTTTTAATATTTATTGTTTTAGTTTTTGGCGGACACAACATCTATTTGTATTAGGCCGAGGATTGAACCCAGCACCGCGCGCATGCCAGGCGAGCACGTTACTGCTTGAGCCACATCCCCAGCCCATCCCTTCATCTATTGAAGGGCATCTAGGTTGCTTCTACAGTTCAGCTATTGGGAATTGAGCTACCATGAACATTGATGTGGCTATGTTACCATAGCTTGCTGATTTTAAGTCCTTTGGTATAGACCGAGGAGTGAAATAGCTGGGTCAAATGGTGGGTCAATTCCAGGTTTTCTAAGGAATCTCCATACTGCATTCCAGATTGGTTGCACCAATATGCAGTCCCACCATCAGTGTATGAGTGTGCTTTTTCCCCCACATCCTCGCCACCATTTATTATCTGTATTCAAGAGTAGTTTTGATTTGCATTTCTCTAATTACTAGAGATGTTGAACTTTTTAAATATATTTGTTGACTGAGTGTATATCATCTTCTGCAAAGTGTCTCTTCAGCTCCTTAGCCAATTTATTGATTGGATCTCTTTTTGGTGTTAAGTTTTTTGAGTTCTTTATAGATACTGGAAATTAGTGTTCTGACATGTATGTGGCAAAAATTTGCTCCCAAAATGTAGGCTCTCTGTTCACCTCATTGTTTTGCAAGAAGAATAAAGCAGGAGGCATCACAATACCAGACCCTTAAACTATACTACAAAGCTATAGTAAGATAAACAGCATGGTATTGGCACCAAAATAGACATGTAGACCAATGGTACAGAAGACAGAGAAAAGCCCACATAAATAGTTATTTCATACTAGACAGAGGTGCCAAAAACCTAACAGTGGAGAAAAGATAGCCTCTTCAACAAATGGTGCTGGGAAAACTGGAAGCCCATATGCAGCAAAATGAAAATAACCCCCCCCCCTCTCAAAATGCACAAAACTCAACTCAAAGTGGATCAAGGACCCCGGATTAATCCAGAGACCTTGCGCCTAATAGAGGAAAAAGTAGGCCCAAATCTTTATCATGTCGGATTAGGCCCCGACTTCCCTAACAAGACTCCTAAAATCAACAATCAATAAATGGGATGGACTCAGACAAAAAAGTGGTCCTATGCCATCTTGCGTCACTTCCTGTCCTTCCCCCCCTCGGTTTCCCCTCGCTCTTGCTGCCTGGTGCTCTTACCTGCACAGTGAGGCATAAACACCTAAACCCTTGCAAAGGGTCTGTTTTCTAGGGAACCCTGGCTGTCCGGCTCCAGGTCTGCACTGCTTGAGGAAATGTTAAGCCAGGACAGGTGCGTGGGAAGCCAATAAATGACCGAGATGCAGGTTGTTGTGGGGAAAGGGAAATGGGGAGGGGACAAGGTGGGTGCCACATTCACCAGCAGTTACTCCCCTTGACCTAACTTCCCTTCCCTTCCCCAGGCCTCATCAGTCAAGTCCTCTCTGACCTCCAGCTGCACTTCAGAGGCTGTGGCCTCCCCACTAACTTCTCTTGTCTGGTACAAGGGAATCTATCCTCCCTGATATTCTGCACACTAAGCACACGACACTGGCAAGGTACTCAGCCTCTCCAAGTAGGTCTTCCCGTGTAAAATAGGGATTGGAGGGATCTCACCCAGGGCCCTCAGGAGGCTTGACAGATTTGAGCCTGCCACATAGGCACAGGGGCAGCCTTGAGGCTACCTGTCTAGCCTCACCTCTTCCATCCCTCCTCTACTCTCCGTCTCCATCTCCATCTCCATTGAGTAAATGGTGCTGTCCCCTCTTCAACCCATTCCCAGGCCTGCCACCAGAGCCAGGACACCACCACGCTCCATGTGTCCTGGATCTGACCACAAGAATGGGCTCAGGCCTGGACATGGGACCTAAATCCAGCAGTGATTGCAACTGCTCCAAAGTTCTGCTGAACAGTAAGGAAGGAGGTACTTACTCTGCTGAGGTCATTAGCTCCGAGTCAGAAGAAAGCGGAGCCAAGGGCTGGAGCAGGATATGGAGCCTCAATGATGTCTTTGCAGCTCCTGGACTCAACCATGCCAGAAGCTACTTAGCCTCTGGTATTTTTAGGAATGAAAACATCAGCCCAAAATTTCTTTTTTTTTTCCTTTGGTACTGGGGATTGAACACAGGAGTGCTTAATCACTGAGCCACATCCCCCCCCCCCCCTTTTTTTTTTTTTTTTTTTTTTTTTTAAGAGACAGGGTCTTGCTGAGTTGCTGAGGCTGACTTTGAACTCATGATCCTCTTGCCTCAGCCTCCCAGGCTGCTGGGGTTACAGGCGAATGCCACTGAGCTCAGCCCCAACCAGTTCAAGTTGAGTTTGTTATTTAAAAGTGAAATGGCCCTGATAATACAGCGGATTCTCTAGAAGGGACATTGCTGCTCTTGCAGTTCATGTCGTTATAAACACAGAGGAAGAGGCAGCTATGGCGATGCGTAGGCTGGTTCCTCCGGGGGCCTCTCTGCTCTTCACAGATGAGGCCCCAGCCATCAGCTCCCTGAGGGCAGGGGATTTTCCTCAGATGGATGCGGATACATCCTAGGTACGTGGTGTCTGGTACACAGCAGGTGATTAATAAATATGAACAACTGAAGTAGGCACCATGGTCCATTGTTTCTCCCAGGGTGCCCTGCCTTCCAGTCCCCATGTAGGGGGACACATTTTGCCCTGACTGCTTATCTTTGTCCTCCAAGTCCAGTGGAGTGGCTGCCAGGAGACTGTCTTGGCAGACTGATCTCCTATCTTCACAATTGTTTTCTTAGAAAGTTTTCTAGAGCTTCCTTCATCCTTTTAATTGTTTCTAATTCAATTTAAAAAAATTGCTATCAATGTGTCCCTTGTGTGAGGTACCAGAGAGATGCAAACATGAATCATGTTCTGCCTGCCTTTGGGGAGCTTCTGTTCTGCTGGGCGTGTACAGTCACGAACTTGACTCGATGGCATTGTTTTAGGCATGGGGGCCATTTTCTGGTATCCTCCTACCGACCAGGCAGTGAAGGAGCTCTATGCTTAAGACCAAAATATACTCCTAGGTCATAATGAATGCAGCTCATCTGTGGCCACAGGAAAGTTGACCGTGTAGGTGAGTGGCCCTGGGACTCTAAATGGGAAGTGCCCACCATGTGCCCAGCTCTGTACTCAGCTCCCCCAGTTTCATGCCAACTTGGAAGCATTGTCCCATCTCACAGGACGAGAAACAGTCTCAGAGAAATGAAGTTTCCCTGAGCCAACAGGGCGTGTGAGTGCATCATTGGGCTGTAGCAGGGAGCCCCCCCTGGGGACCCCAGAATTGATAAGGCTTCTCAGTCAGTAGTGGGGTCATGGTCTGTTGGCTCTTGCAAAGGCCAGTGAATGTCCTCGTGGCTCCTCCCACCTTCTCCTTGGATGACAGCTGCTGGATTCCTTGCCTGCCTCTCTCCTCCCAGCTCCTGGT